CCTAAATGTGCCACAGGACCCTCTGTTGCTTTTTACAGATTCAGACTAACACGGCTACCCCTCTGATAATTTACTTGATCAGTGATTACAATAGTGAGAGTCTAAATTAAATTTGTTTTAAAGTTACTCTCTCAGGAGTGATGTCTATCTAAATACTTCTGTTCAAGTGCCTGGGCTTATGGAAAAGGGCTACCTCTTGAACACTGAGGATCAGACTATATTCTTGCAGTGTCGGTGTGGCAATACACTAGAAACTGGGGGAGCCTCTCTGACCTGCTCTGTGCCACCAATGTTAGTGGGGGGAGAGGATACATATCTAAAACTTGTAAAAGACTGCTTTTTCTAGTGTACCTCCTACAGAATAAAGGTTAGGTTATGCATACCATTTTTCTTGTTTCCGTTCAATTTTTCCATGTTGGTTTTATTTAGGCAACTTGTTTCTTAGATAGCTAGCTTTCCTGTTTTTGTCCTTGAGGTTTGAAGTCTGTCTTGCCTTCTTGTGAGGCAGTTGGGGAGAAGACAGTAATACCTTTGAGCAGCTGCAGGGCCGGCCCACAACATTTTGGCACTTCAGGCGGGGAGCTCAAATGATGACCCCATGCACCCTTGCTTGGGCCAGAACTTTGAAAGGTCTCAATTCTGCCTTCTTCTTGTTCTCCTTTATTGGGGTAGGTAGCAGAGCAGTACCATGAGAGAAGTAGAACTAACAAATTAAAATGCCTTGTTCAAAAATTTTAAATAATCCTTACATTTGCTGTTCAGGAATTTGAAAGTTAATTTTTCTTGTCTGCATAGTAAACACTGGTATTTTTATCTGTTTGAAGAATCAAAATGGTGCTTTCCGTGCCTCCTTGGTCGCAAAGATTTGAACTGCTTCCTGAAGGTCCACAGTCTGGGCCAGCTCATGCTCTATTGAGATGGTTGCAAGGCCGACCAGCCTCTCCTGTGTCATTGTGGCGTGTAAATGTGTTTTTTATTAACTTCAGCTTGGAGAAGCTGTGTTCTCCACTGGCAACTGTTACAGGAAGTATTAGAAGTATGCGCAGAGCAACAAACATATTTGGAAAGAGGGTGGTCATCATCTTTGTGCACATGTATTCCAGAACAGCCTTTGGAGTTGATCCTGCTGAAATGTATCTTGAAAGGGCTTTCAGTTCATCACCTGAATCACTCACATCAATATCTTGCATGTCATCATATGTCAACACTGTCTCTAGTGCGCTGCATTGCTGATGTAGGTCTTCCGGTATAGTGAGGAGTTTTGGGATATGATACGACATCTCAAATATACTGCTGTGTTCCTTGAGCTGTGTGAAACGTTCAACTGTTCTGCACAATCTAGCACCTGGTTAAA